AAAAATCCATAGTCTAATGATTACAAAAATTCAGACATCGTTCTTGAGTAATTAATAGAATCTTGTTGAAAAATTAATCAAATCTTCAAAAGATTTTTAAAAGGAAAAATAAAAATTACTGTCGAAAAATTCACGAACGGAATTATGCATAAAGTCTTTAGGTTGCCTGTGGAGGGTTAGGAGTAAATTGCGATTTATTCATTTCAGTAGATAGTTTTTCATTCGTTCATTTCGTTCAGAAGGATTCATCGTGTCGAGAAGCTTTCTACATTGAAAAATCAAAATTTACAAACTTGTATAATTAATTATAATAAGGGGTTGATTAAATTTTACTACGTAATAGGACATCGCTTCTTTGTGAATCCTTTAATGGATAGTGTTAATCGTTTTGAACGCGTGAAGAGCAAGGAATGTTCGATAATTATATTCGATTTGTAAATTAATCTGATTTCTTTTTTACTGTGTGTTTTTCTTTTTTAAGTAGAAACAGACGTTGGTGAGAGGAATGAACGAATGAGCAAACGTTTGAAATGGTCAGATTTTATCGATTCTATGTTTTTCATAGTTTCGTTGAAGATGTGAAACACGCGAGAAGAGGAGAAAAATAGCTTTATAGGGATTGTATTACGCGATGTGTTACGATCTGTACGAACAGACGATGAATATGAACAAAAAATCAAATAAAACGTTACAGTGAATGTTAGCTAATCCTTCTCGGTTTTTTAGTTACACCAATCTTCAAAAAAGAAAGAATCATTCTCCCAAAGAAATCGTAGGAGTATAATTTTATTAGAGAAAAATAAGAAACAATTTATTGAGCGAAATTTTATTCTATCATATTATGTTACAAAGTTATAAGACAAGATACAATTAATTTTATATTACAAAATATGAAAAATTGTGCACGACAATATTTTCTCTATTGTGTTATAAACAATTTTGTTTCATATTTGTTGAGAATTTTATTTAATAATTCGAAATATTTCACACAATTACTTTCGTTTCATATTGTCCATATGCATTTCATAACTATCCAGAATTGAAAGTTACGTTTAATTGATTTAATTAAAACTTTGAAACTGTAAAAATGTCCAAAAATATCTAAAGTAAATGTTACAGTATTCAATAGATGAGACAAATTAATTTTCCTGTGAATTCATCGAATCTGTAATTATTAATTCATTACTATCGCTGGATTTAATATTTTACAACTTCGTAATAAAACATTTACGTTTATTTTGCTATAACATTACATTATTATTTTCTTATTCAGACTTACAGAATTTGCCCGAAGAAATTGAAAACTTATATTAAATTCCTTCGATCCTTTTCTCGTCCATCACTTTTGATCCACGATCTACAGTCATCGATCTAGATCATATTGCTCTAAAAATTGAAACAGAGATCTCCATTACCGACTTAATGCAGTCTATTTCACTATAGGGAGCGTTACAGCTCGAATTTAACGAGATAATTATTTGTATTACTCTTCCATTTAGTCGCACGAACATCTATTAACGTCGTGACGAGACACGAAACGATCATCAATGTACCGCATAGTTATGTTAAGCATGAGGCTTATCACATTGTGCATCACCTTGTTGTTTCTCCTTGGGATCGTTCGAGCCACATTGAAAGAAGGTATACAAAATCTCATCGATTCATGCGTGTATATATTCATATAATCAGTCAATGATTCTCCGCTATCGTCAGCAAACTATTCAGTTTCCTTCAACGATAACGTAATTTCAATAACATAACACTTCTCTTTAGTATTCTCTTTAGTATACTCGCTGATCTCATTGAGCGTTTAAAATAATTCTCATGCACGATTATTCTTCAATCAGAATATAAATTCTTTTACTTACCGTCGTTATAAATTATACATAAATCGAGTATTCCGTTCCATTAGCTTATCGGTATACGATGCGCACATGTTGCGTATGTAACGCGCATATTTGAATATATTGTCGAGAAATTGATGAAAGACTCGATTTGTCATTTTTTTTTTTTTTT